GCCATGCATGACGCCGCATACTCAGAGGAGTAGGATGCGTCCATCCATGATCCATGCAATGGAAGATCGCATGGAATCGGTGACCAGCTCCGTCGTCGTCTGCAGGCATATATCAGTGATACGATACTACATATAGCGCTTAATTAATCGATAGATGACCGGACCTTGCTGCCATGCCACAGCCTCCAGAGCCTGTTGCCAGCTGGAGACTTGTCAGTCCAGATGTCGATCCAGCTACGTAAAATACAATGCAATGGTGAATGGTCACAAATTAAACAATTTCATTCAGTTGGTACTACCTCTGTCCAAAAATGATGCAATTCTAGATTACATTTGATCTGCAACTTTAGGCCTTGTTTAGATTGGGGTTAGGAATCAATATTTGGCACTCTAGTACTTTCGTTTGTATTTGACAATTATTGTCCAATCATGGCCTAACTAGGCTCAAAAGATTCGTCTCGTAATTTACAATCAAACTGTATAATTAGTTATTTTTTTTATCTACATTTAATACTCCATGCATGTCCAAATATTTGATATGATAAAGAGAGAGTGAAAAAACTTGCAATCTAAACAAGGCCCTAGATTTACGAAGCTCCAGACCACAACTGAGCGATGGATTCGGGGCGCGTTTAGTTCCCAATTTTTTTTGGTTTGGTTACTGTAGTATTTTCGTTTGTATTTGGTAATTAGTGTCTAATTATAGACTAATTAGGTTCGAAAGTTTCGTCTCGCGATTTCTCACCTGTGCAATTAGTTTTTTTTTCATCTATATTTAATACTCCATACATGTGCCGCAAGATTTGATGTGACACTTTGGGGTGAAAAATTTTGAAATCTAAACAGAGCCTCAACTGGTCAATGCAAGACTCAAGAAGGGGCAGGAAAATGTGGCAGGGTACCCAAGAGGCTAGCTAGGGACCCTCCTTTCCTTTTGGTGTGTACAAGATGCTATAACTAGAGATTGTGGCAGTAGTAGCAGCAGCACTGTTGTCGCGAGAGTGTCGGTAGGGGTGTGTGTGGTACTGAGGCCTCATTTAGATTGTAAGTTTTTTTACTCTTTCTTCATCACATTAAATCTTTGAACACATGTATAGAGTATTAAATATAAATAAAAAAAATAACTAATTACATAGTTTGATTGTAAATTACGAGACGAATTTTTTGAGCCTAGTTAGGCCATGATTGGATAATAATTATCAAATACAAATAAAAATACTACAGTACCAAATACTGATCGCTAACCCAATCTAAACTAAGGCCTGACTGCTGACCGGCCCATGCCAAGCACGCACGAGAAAGCCCACTCCGGAGTTAATACGGGGCTACTAGTAGTAGCTGCTTAAAAGTCAGTAAAACCACTAGCTTAATTGCCCTGTCCCTAGCTAAAACCTGCCCTGCTGCCCCTCCCTCCAGGATACTGCTGTACTGTGTACTGCTTTTGGATAGAGAAACATGGCATGCAGTGCAGTGGAGATCCATCCAACTCGGTACTGGATGGAGTACCACCACTGCTGTGGCAAAACCAAAACTGCTTTTCACCAAACCGCACTTTGGCGATTGAGTGCTCAGCACGGGATGGCATGGCAGCCTTCTAATTGCGCCCCGGCAGCATAAGCCCAGGATTGTTTGGGGTATTTGGTGTGGCTCCGAGATGGGCATGTTCGGCTGTCTGAAAAAAACGATTGATACTGATGCTGATGAGATTTACTGTGAGAGAAAAACACTTTTATTTTGCTGAATCGATAACTTCAAGCGAACAGGGTCGTAAGTTTTAATTTACATTGGGGAAGCTGGCAACAACCATTGGATCGGGGGCCTCGGCCTCTTCAAAGTCGGAACAGGCCAAGAACAGCGACGCACGCACGCCACTGTATCTATCCTTCAGAGTTCAGAGACTTGACTTCCCTGACGTAGATGGGTCTCAGTACGCATCTCATCCTTTGGCTCCCTGCGAGGAAGGCTAGCTAGCTAGCTGGCCATATCATATATATATATATCGTTTTCATGCACATAAGAAACTACGAATTTGTTCGCCAATTTCTGCTTGGTGCTTGCAACCATACATACATAGTACTCCCTCCCTCGGAAGAAGAATGCAAGTACGGGTTGCGTGCTAGCAAAAGTGGTTCATGTTTAACCAAATTTCTAGTGAATACTATTTACATTTACACCTCTAAAATAATTTATTATGATAATATATTTTGTAATTAATTTAATAATACTTATTTAATATCATAAACATTGATATTTTTTATCTATAATTGATCGAACTTAGAACACTAAACTAGAACCGTGTGTTAGAATTGCATTCTTTCTTTTTTTTTTTGTTACGGAGGGAGTACGATGCTAAATTGACAAGGACGAGAGATGAGAGCTCCGGTGAGTGCAGCGGTACCAGCTTGGTTCGTACGATGACTGATTGGGTGTGCCAATATTACTGCAGCTGCGATCGCCATTTTTACGCGACGGGTCCTCACGGTCGAGGACAAGCCAACCACCACCCTGCTAACCTGCCTCTGGCCGACCGCACTTTCCAATGATGCGCGTACGGAGGCAGATCGCAGCAGGCAACGTATCTGTGTGGAGCCCAACTGTAAATTAGAAGGGAGTAGCTGTACTGTACCACCCCACCCGGGCGGCGGGCGCTCATTGAATTGGGCATGCATATGGATGATTGGCGGATTGTTGATTGATGGATTGGTTGCCCTCGTGGGCTGTGGATGCATGGATTGGATGCCGACCAGCTCCGTCTCCGTCTCCTGTTCGGCAGTGTCAGTGTAGTGTAGTGGCGTCGTCCCATGGACATGGGTGTGTACTGACGGCAGCTGTGGATCAACAAGAGTCTTCCCGGCTTAACATCGTCGATCTTCGGCTCAACTGCTTCTTCCTTTGCCATCACACCATCTCCTGTCCTTGCCCCCGCAGTGCACGGTAGTACTTTTGCACAAAGGTTTCAGTATTCACGCATCTGTATGAATGTAGTACTAGAATGCAATTACGCAAGCAGAGGGATTGGGTTAAGTTCAGCAGGTTTAGTTTACCACAATCTCGCATATGCACTAAACCAACACCACACGGTTAGTTTAGAGACAGCTAACAACAGACAGCCACTAGTTAGCGATGAGAGCGTGGGGGCAGATTGTTAGAGTGACCGATGATGATGCATCATGGATCAGCTTGCCCAGCTAATACGGCGGGGCTCTCCGTGCTCCCGCTGGAAGTCTGGAACCTCCATGGCCGCCATAAAATGAGGTCGCCAAGCGCGTAGGTGGGGGAGTTTATTAGCGGCGTACCGGCAGCAGCGAGGTGGTTATGCCAGTGCCACCACCAGCCACACACTTCACCGACAGCGCACCCCACAAGTGACAAGCCCAACCCACGACGACAGCCAGGGCCCCAACCACCCACAATAAAAGCAGATCGGATACGGACGAATATCACCGATATTATATTTGTTTTTATATTTCTATTCGGATACGGATAATATCAAGTATATCAGATAGGATACTATTGAGTATCGGCATCATAAATATGTGATTTGAGTATTTGAATACAGATACGGTATCGGATGTTGAATATTTAGACTTGGATACGGACAGATCTGAACCTCTCTAGTCGAATTCGGCCTTTAATATGGTCGGAAAATATCCATACCGTTTTCATCCCTACCCACGACGACGATTCTTCTCTCCCTACTAACTAGGCCTATTCCTCTATCTAGCTTAATCCTTCTCTGTAGTTAGCCGTATCATCATCTGTTGCATGACATGCTTCTGACCTCCTGTAAGTATATTACTGCTACCGACCCCACCAACGGCAGCCGCCACGGATTACGCTCCAGGCCATATAATAGTAATCCCAATTCTGCGCGTGCTGGGGGTGATCACAGGAGGCCCCTAATAGCACTGACACAAGTGTTCCTGTAATGTACTCTGAAAATCCCTGGCAGAGTACGACACCTCCACACCGTAGCATGCAGCACTGCATTGCAGGCCCAGCCGTGCCACGCAACAAAACAACAGAGGCCAGGTACGTGGAACGCAAAGCAAAAGTACTCCAGTTGGATTATCTCCTACAACTACGACCCAAAATACAACATCATTCGTTCTTTAGGCAGTGCTACAGGCAAATGGTTCAATATCTATTTTTGGTCTTCTCCAACAACAAGACCCAAAAAATAACTATTTCTGCAAATGAGTCTTCAGGAGAAAGAATACTCAGATTTAGGTTATGCATCTTCTGACACCTAAAATGGATCTTCCATATAGATATTCTGTTAGAGGCTATAAGTATTATTTTGAACAAACATTTTAGATTGGGAGATTTTGCTACAGGACACTAATATTTTGTGAAATTGCTGTGGGACACTGTATTTTTTTTCTTTGCTCTAGACACACTGGGCGGTGTGCCACAGCAAAGAAATTAGTGTCCCACAGCAAAGAAAAAATATTCCAATGTCCCACAGCAAATTTCACATAACTGGAGTGTGCCACAGCAAAATTTTCCTTTTAGATTTGGGTTCCACGATAGATCTCCTGTTGGATGACAGCCTTGCTGACACCCAAATCTTACTCCGTTTGCCTCTCTCCCCTTCGCGCACACGCACGCAGGCAGAGGCACACGCACGCACAACGCAGCTGGGGCCTGTGTGTGTGTGCGCGCGAGTGCATCATCGCTCTATCTATCTAACCGCATTAACGCGGCCCCGCGGACGCAAGTACAGTGCCGGGGTAGCTTATATTCACCGGAACGGAAGGGAAGCGGGCCGGGGCGGGGCAGGGCATCTACCACTACACATACACACCACTCCTGATCCGGAGGCACTCACTCTCACACTCACACACGCACACTGACTGCTGCTCAGTGAGTCAGTGCTCGTCCGGTTCCCACCGCTCTGCAGCCTGCCTCCTCTGTCCTTCCTTCCTTCCCCTGGCAGAGAATCTCAAGTGCTTGCCGGCCGGCCGGCCCGGCCCTGCGCAGAGGGGGGATCAGGCAGCATGGTGCAATCAAAGAAGAAGTTCCGCGGCGTCAGGCAGCGCCACTGGGGCTCCTGGGTCTCCGAGATCAGGCACCCGCTCCTGTAAGAACTACTGACCCCAGCCTCTCTTCTTCCCTCAGCTACTAGCCACACTGTCTGCTCTCACTGTCTACTTGAAAGATACATTTCGCCTAGTAGACGTAGATGGCTTATTCTTTCTCTTTCGCCATGTGTTTTGATGGGTGTGAAATGCATGCGTGTGCGTGTGCTTGAATGCAGTAAGAGGAGGGTGTGGCTGGGCACCTTCGAGACGGCAGAGGAGGCGGCGCGGGCGTACGACGAGGCCGCCGTCCTCATGAGCGGCCGCAACGCCAAGACCAACTTCCCCGTCCCAAGGCGCGCCACCGGGGAGCTCGCCCCGGTGCCGGCCGCGCGGGACGCGCGTGGCGGCGGCGGCTCGTCCTGCGCGGCGCCGGGCGGCAGCAACACCGCCAACCTGTCGCAGATCCTCAGCGCCAAGCTCCGCAAGTGCTGCAAGACGCCGTCGCCGTCGCTCACCTGCCTCCGCCTCGACCCGGAGAAGTCCCACATTGGTGTCTGGCAGAAGCGCGCGGGCGCGCGCGCCGACTCCAGCTGGGTCATGACCATCGAGCTCAACAAGGACGCGCCGGCCGCGGTGGCGCCGGCGTTCTCCGGCGAGGAGCCGGCGCCAAGCGGCGGAGGCGCGGCGGCTACCACGCCCACGTCCACGTCGTCCACGGTCACGACATGCTCGCCTCCACCTGCGGCGATGATGGACGACGAGGAGAGGATTGCGCTGCAGATGATCGAGGAGCTGCTGGGTAGCTCGCAGTACTCATCACATGGGATGCTCCAGGGTGCAGCAGGCAGCCTCGTCATCTGAAGACCGAAGGAAATTGCATGGTTGAACAAGCTAGCAGCATGATCAGGTCACTGTCCCAGATCAGATCAAGTGTTTGGTAGTAGAGTGTGGTTGGTGCAGCACAAGCAGTTAAGATTGCATCATATATAGGTACCTCTATTACTACATCAAGCTTAGGATAAACCATATAGTAAGATTAATCACTACCGTGTGAAGCTCTGTATTTATTAAAGGCTTACTTGTATGTATAAGCATGCAGCCCCAGTCATGATAGTCACACTGTCACTGGTGAAACCCCTTTGTTATGTATCAATATATAATATCAGGCTATATATATATAGATCAATATATCAATATATCAATATCAGCGGTGTCACCTTCTAATAAAAGGGAATAGGTGCCTTGCGATTGTGGCCTTTCTTCCGCTTTCATACTGATACTGATGAGGGTTCCCATCAAAAGAACATCTGGAATATGAGATGAAGTTGATATTTGTGAAGAAAAAGGATAAATTTATTGGCTAACTTCACAATCATTTCAAAGCACAGAGCATCAGCCTACCTACTTAGCTAGTAACTCCACAGGACTAAGAAAAACATGTATGGTTCGTCCTAGGAAAGTACACTTATCTTTGAGCAGTTATGCGAAGGGCAGGCCTGGTGCAGTGGTGAGAGCTGTCTCACTGAGTCACCAGGTCGCGGGTTCGAAGCAGTCTCTCCGTAGATTTTGCGGAGGAAAGGCTTGCCTCGGTTTTTCCCTTCTTCAAACCCCACTCATATGGAAGCCTTCGGCACTGGGTCTGCCCTTTGAGTAGTTATGCCATGTACCTTTTCCTGCAAGATAGTCAAAACAAAAGAGAAACAAGCAAATTGCACAAAACTTTCCTGTATCATCACAGTTACATTAATCAATTCGATGCAAAATGTTTACTGAGTGCATGCATCAATAATGAGAATTTTTTGGCAATTCTGTTGCTCCAGTGAAGAAACAGACTAATAAAGGTTATATCCATATCCCTAGGTGCTATATTGTGAATATCACTTTCACGTAAATATGTGTTAAATGGGATGAGGACATCATCACAGAATCATCAAAACACTGCTCACGATTTGCATAAGCACAACGGTACACTGCTAATTAATAATAAGCAGCCCAGTTAGCATGCAACTAGCACAAGCAATAATGACCAGCGGAACCATTGTCTGCAGGCAAAAAATCCCTGATCGCAGGCTTGGGAGGGCTTAATTGATGATTAAATGCAATGTCTATACAATTAACAGAAAGCCATCAACTTAACTGTGACAGCGCACCAGACTACATATGATTGTTTCCATTGTTCATCCACAAAAGTAGCTATAGCCAGCGGTGAGTACACAGTAAAAGCAGATATCAATTCAAGTAAGCTTCAGCTGTCATGACTTTGAACTGTGACATTAATCCAGCACTAGCAACAAAAAAAATCTACAGCATTTCCCTACTAGTTCCCTTCGAAAAATCCTGAACTCCACACCATATGTAAAATCTCACATGGTAGCTATTACAGTACTGTAGAAAGCAAGAGTGAAGTGGATGAAAAAAAAATGGTCCCCCCATGTTCTCTCTTCCCTATTTGATAACACACAAATAGGAGCAATGAAGCACGAATCATCTCCACAGTTTGGTTCTATAGGTTGGTAAAACGTGCAGTCAATGCAGATGGGTCCAGTCAGTTAGTTGGTCAGCCATAAAGTACGATCGTGCCAGCCAAAAAAAAAAGGATCGGCAGAGCACAACAACAGCAGATATTAGCTGCCATTGTCACATACAGTAGACTGAGAGGTCTAGGACGTTGATGAAAACAACAGCCGATCACCATTTATAGTACACAAAGAGATAACATACACTACTACAGTAAGTATTTATAGGGATGACTGACGATGGTTCGTAGAGGCGGTTTTGCCAGCCGCTCCTACCATACCGTCTCTACAAATTAAAGGTTTGTAGGGGCGGTTCCCAAGTCACCCCTACAAATCAATTTGTAGAGGCGGCTTATGTCACCAGCCGCCCCTACAACTGTATTTGTAGGGGCGGTTGGTAACATCAGCCGTCTCCACAAAAATAATTTGTAGGGGCGGTTGTAACACTAGCCGCCCCTATAATTTCTATTTGTAAGGGCAGTTCACTCTATAACCGCCCCTACAGTACATTTTCACACAAAAAAAAATGAAATTTGAAAATTTAAATATGACCAGAACATATATACATATATATATATAATATATATAATTCACAGGGATATTATATCAACAACTAATTGAAACCCATAATAATTTAAATTACTTCATTACAAACCCATTCATTACAAACACATAATAATTTAAATTTATTCATTACAAACCATAATAATTTAGATCAGTCCATTATTACAACTAACAGTAATTTAACTTCTTAGAATTTTCTAACGTCGTACCACGTACTCGAAAAAGTGCTGATCATTCATTTCATATGCCAAAATGTCACTGATGTAGCGTAATGTATTTACTAGTGCACTCTCCCTTGCTTCACAAGATCGTTCACAAGGTCTACTGACGACTATTGGTATTGGTCGAGAACCTCCACTCATAGTCACAAGAATTTTTACCTGGATTCCCTCTGAAATGAGAACAGGACCACCATATTAGGGTTTAGGAAGATACGTCTCAAGCGGTCGGTCACTAGCAGGTACTACATTACCAAGGCAGGAATTCTTCTCTGCTTTGCATCGTTGCCTAATGGAGTGTCCTCTGGGGGCTGAGATTCTTGTACCACCTTATTCATACCCTTCTTATTCCTCTTTTCCCCGTGGAGGCTTTGTCCCCACCGTAAAGGTCATTATTCTTGTACCGGCTGGCCCCACACCGGGGACATTTATCCAGTGACTTGAACGTTTTACCACGAAAAAGGATACAGTGGTTGGGGCATGCATGGATTTTTTCAACCCCCATTGTCAATGGACTTACGACCTTCTTCGCTTGGTATGAGTTGGCGGGAACTGAGTTTGGTTGTGGCAGCACCCATGACAGGAGACGTAATAGATCATTAAAACTACAGTCTGACCAGCCATACTTAGCCTTCATGATGAGTAGCTCAAGCACAAAACGTAGCAATGTACAATATGTCGGACAACCCTTTTCAACACCATACACAGTCTCCTTCGATGTTTTTGTCACCCTTTCTAATTTTTCTAGACCTTTTGGGCTCTTTAGTAAAATCTCTGGTCCAAGGGCTCGAATCATGTCCTCCAAATCATCTTTATCCCCGACACGTGCTCCGTCATCATTATTGGCACCACCTTCGCCGTTACCATCCCAACCACCAGCATCACCACCTTGTTCATTGCCAAACTCGGGATCCATTCGTGCATCAAGCTCTACTGAATATTGGGACAGGGATTCTAGGGTTTCATCGTCGTATTCCTCCTCATCCTAGTCGTTAACAATAGCCGTTTCACCATGATGAATCCACACTATATAGTCCTCAACAGATCCTCGCATAATCAAATGTGATATGATGATAGTCACATCTGTCCATGCCATACGGTTCTTGCAATTTTTATAGGGACAAATAATTGTATCATTATTCTCTGTCAACGTCGTTGCATGCTTCTCTGCGGCTTCAATAAATTTATCCACCTCTTCACGAAAACCTGCCTTGAACCTTAACGAACCATACATCCAAGAGTTCCTGTACTCCATCTTTTACAACAACAACAAAACAAACATTAAGGACTACTTATTCAGATATATATAAAAATGAATCAAATTAATAATTACTTGAGAATAATTGTATATACTTCAGATATATATGAATATAAATCAAATATAATTACATGAAACATACAAACACACCATGGTAGAGGAAAATTAATTAATGGCCTAGTTATCCATAAATAATTAAAATACAAATTTATTGATTACAATAAATAATTTCAAAGACAACAATTAGCAACAATTATATTTTACCCAATATATTTCATGCAAACCCTACTCCAATTTCATCAAACATAAATTTATAAAAACAAAATTAATAAAAAAAACCAAACCCTAGATCTAGATCTAGATCTACATGCACATGAAACATACATAAAACTAACTAATTGTTCACTAAAATCAAGAAACATGGATCAAATAAGGGTATGATCTTGTTCCCCTACCTAATTTACCCTAGTACATTCAAAACTTGGGTCTAATTTGCTTCATAAGTAGCTCAAGCACCATAGAAGAGAGAGAAGTAAAACTCTAATTACTCACTAACCTACTATTAAAACTTCAAAAAAAATGTAAAATAGCATTTTCTTACATTCTACAACCTCTCCACCAAAGGATTTGAGACCAAAACCTTTCCTCCTTTGTAGAGCAATTTTTGGGAGGTGCCCAAGGCCTCCCTACCCTTTTTTCATAGTTGGAGTGAGTGACTCGAGGAGAAAGAAGGGGCTGCATGTTTTTATATGTGGGGCATTTGTAGGGGCGGCTGGTGATTGAGCCGCCCCCCTACAAATTGCAACACCGGGGGTGGCTGATGAGTGAGCTGCCCCTACAAATCGACTTATTTGTAGGGGCGGGTCGTATCACCAGCCGCCCCTACTGTGCCATTTATAGGGGCGGCTGGTCTCGTGGGTCCCAAGCACGCCCACTGTAGGGGCAGCTCCATCACCAGTCGCTCCTACAAAAAAATTATCCCGTTGCTACAAACGTTTTTGTAGTAGTGATAGCATCTGATTAAGGCCGTGTTAAGTTTAGTGATGGTTACTAGCAAAAGCGATGGCTATGTAGCAAACTCCTTAATTAGGGCCTGTTTGGATCCACCAACTAAATTTTAGCTGGCTCAATTTAGCTGTTGGGGATCCAAATGGTCTAGCTAAAAGACCAGCTAAAGTTTAGCTGAGTCTAGCTATTTCAACCCAGCTAAACTCAGCTAAAGTTTAGCTTAGTCTATTAGCTAGAGGTTCTAAATGTTGGTCTTACTGGATCTTAGATTCAGATCTGGAACTAACAGAGGGCAGC